CAAGTAAGCACTCATATTCCTGGATGGATCATGATATTTTTATGTTTTTATTTTCTAAAGGATCATGATGTATGAATATGTTAGCAGTAAGTTACAGAAGCTATTGTTGGTATCTTCATGATAACGCATCGAATTACAAAAGGATCACAGGATCACATTCACAGTGATCATACAGTATCTCTGGCTGCTTTCAGCTTAATGGAACTTTGTATCCTTTCAGATACGTACCACTAGGGGTGAGTAGAGACCGAAACCAGAGCTAAAAGAAACTGAATATTGGACATATATGTTCATCAGGTTGCCAGGGAACACAACTTACAATGAATGATAACGTTGCTCTGTTGCTGCTGGATGTGTACATAAGGCTGCTTTCCGACATGAACGCAGGAGAATGGCGGCAGGATTGGGTACTGACTTTATTCTGAGGTTGCCCCTCACACAACGCGAGAAGATCCTCTCCACTCAGAAGCGCCCACAACAACACAGAAATCTGCAGAGTTCAGGTGAGGGGTGGTGCAGCAGCCAGAGGCAGTACATAACTAATTAATGCTACTGTGGAGAGCATGTGTTTCTGTTTAAATTACATTGACAACAACATTGGCTTTCATTATCAAAAACTCTTGCAACATCATTGGTGCCGTCTTCTACATGTATGGCACCGTTCTTTTATCCTGAGATATTTTTCTTTTAGTTTTATTCATTTTGCATCTGTCATGTGTTAGAAATGTCATCAACACCACACTCACTCGCAGTGAATTCTGCTTATTGATCTCCGGCTGTGTTTTTACATCGGCTCCTTTAGACATTCTGCAGAGTATTTACCAGGGGGCCAGCTCTCACTCAGACATTTGCGTTCTCACATACAGACCCTGCTGAGAATGTCCAGAGCTTTTTCGTAGTTTCAGTGCATGTCTGAAGGCAGCGTACAGAAGGATTTGCTAACAATGCTAAAATCTTCACCATGCTAAGGTTAAAGGTAACATGTCAACTTGGTTTTGCTGCCCCTATAGGTAACAAAAACAATATTCTAGGTGCAAGTAAAAAAGTTATAACACAACATAAAATATTCAAAACACACTTCAGTAAAAGAAGGGAGACTATGGAAACAAAATATACTCAAACTAGAATGTCAGTAAAGCTCATACCTTCACCAAGTCCCAACAGTCCCTTTAGATTCAATCAAGCTGCACCAAATTGCTCACACTCATAGTTATCAGTTCCCTGAATATGTCTGGAACCTTACCCCTGATCCACATCAGCTTCAAAATTGAATGGGCTCTTCCTTTACTCATAATACATCCTTTCAACAAGTTTCATAAAAATCTGTTTAGTTATTTTTGTGTAAACTTGCTCACAAACAAACAAACCAACTAATGGAGAGGGGAGAAAACATAACCTCCTTTCAGAGGTAAACACATTTGTTGTCAGTGCAATTATATAAAAGATTATTTTTATTGATGCATCAATGTGTGGGCAATACTTTAATATTGACACTTATTGAGTTGGAACTTATTTCTTCTTTATGTAAGTTTTACAATGCATCATACTTTATAAATCTGAAAACAGCTCAGAACCAAATGTACAACATCAAGTAGAATATATACATATGTATATATCTGAAGAGTTAAAATAGCATACACATCAAGTAAAAGTACATAGTGTATTAAATGTACAGAGTTCCCCTCAGTTGATGGCAGCATGCTCTTACAATCCGTCTTTAATAAACTGCACCAGCTTACGTAGTATGTGTTAGTAGGTCACAGTAACACCTACAGCAGTGGTAGCTCAAACACTAAATGTACTTTACGTTCTGTGTATATTTGGTAAACATTTCAGGTGACATCGCAAGGGGCTTAATTTAACACTTCATCCCTCCCACATGCCATGTACACCATAAAGCTGATCAGAGAGCAGCAGTGACTCAAGCAACAAGGTTGTCAGAGGACAAACTAATCCATTTTGATCCAGACTCCTGAAGGGCTGTTTTATATAACAACTGTTTCTTAATAGAGAGCGATACACGAAGAACCCATCAGGAAGACCGGGGCTCAGCTGAGTTCATACACTGAGAGGATGCAGTGTCTTGAAACGTTGGAGTTGCAGCAGAAGAAAAGCACGTTTTGAAAAGGGATGAATAAAAAATAGCAGCAAGCTGTGTGAGAGTCCTATAGATGTATGTGTATGAAAGATGGACTCACTCCTCACAAGACACCAAGAAGAGTTGTAAATTCTTGAAGAAACACTGTGTTTCAGTCTTTCTCCCAGGTGTGACAGCTAAGATGAAATACGTGCTGTCACTTTTCCCACTTTTTCGACAGTCAGTATTTTTACTCTAGCATAGATACATGTCAGGGCGGCATATGACACCGAAGTCATTCCACACCTAAGGCTAAGAGAACATATGTGACAGCGTTGTGCCGTGATCCATTCAGTTAACGCTACAGTGAAAATGTACAAATGACTGAAAGCTAAAATAACAGGATCTGATATTCAGACAGGTGCAGCCATGATGCTACAGATAACTGACTGCTGAGGTCTGTCTTTGCATTATGTATGTAACCTTGAGGCTCAAACTTTCATTAACACCAAGGTTTCACATGAAATCCAGGTTTAGTTGAATGAAACTAAATACTTCAGACATTTAGAATAAATATTCTAACATAGCAGTAGTTGTGTGTAACAACAAGACATTTAAGTGCATATCTAAGGCTGTGTGTGGCTCCGGAGGTGGAGAGCTGAGCTAACTATATGGAAAGTCGGTGCGATCCCTGGCCCCTGCAGAGTTGATCCCTACAGCTGTATGAATAAATAGGTGTGCTGAAATGTAATGCTATTATGTATTACTGCTGTTTACCATATGTTCACAAGATTTAATGTATTCAAGTTATAGGCTATAGCTATAAAATTAGAAATTAGCCATAGGGCATTATTGATCGTTGTGGTGAAAACTTTGTATTTACAATTAGAAGACAGACTATAATGTAATGGTGGTGGAGGGATAAGTTGCAAGCAGCATATGCTGTAATACAACGAGAGAGAGACAACGTATGTTAGTTGTTTAAAAGGAAACATATTTAGCTTTTTCCATTTTTTACAAATCGGACGATTTGAGGAAGGTGACGCATTTTCTGAACATAAGTCCTTGTGAACAATTTCAAACAATAACCCAAACAGAGGTGGAGGCTCAGAGTGACGACGATAGAAAGCTGACAGTGTTTCTGCTTAAACTTGTGCGAGAAGCATAATTAGTAAATGCCCTGTCAGGTATGAATTAAATGGTGACATTGATGTCATGGATGGCTCCCTACTAACTGTTCTGGATTCACTCTGGTTCATGTGGTGCACTCTGGACACAAATTCCCAACACACTTATACCAATGACTCTGATGAAACTGTGCAATGTGCAAAAGAGTAAGATGGAAGATCTAGGCATCAATGATCAATCAATCTGAATCATATGACAAAATCACACCACTAGTTCAGAGAAACTACTTGGTAAATGTAGGGAATTTTTATTGCCAAAAATTTCCCTTATATAGATCTGAGCATCTGTTAGTACTAACACATATGATACCGCAAAGCATTATTACCTTCTATGAGTGACGGTACGATTGACCTTTTGTTCAGGAAGTTTTGATTGTGGCTATATTCATGTTTATATACAGTAACTGCCTCCTGAAAGAAAAGCAGGAGACTATAAGGGGAGCCATTTGCAGCGCAGGGAGTGTAAGGATAGGGAATAAAGGGTAATAATAAAATAAGATTTAAAAATAATCCTTCTCATTCTTTAAGGCTTTATCTATTGTTGCTTAAAACCTCCAATGTCCAAGGTACAGAAATTACTCTGGAGCTGTAGTGTTGAGTTCTGCTGTCATCTGTTTGTATGGGCTCAGTCATTCTGGCTCTCACTCCCATCATCAAAAGAAAACCAGTCAATTTTTCAGATCAAAGCACAAGTAAAGTGGCAATTATCAGAAACCTCATAACGCTGCGCCTGACACATTTCCTTGGTTCACATGAATCAAACATTAGCGGTAAATTTGAGTGCCTATCGTGAGCTTTACCCTCTATGGAGCGGCTCGCTGTATATTCAGGATATAAAACATGAAAGGCTTATCAGGCCTTTCCGAGTAAAATGCAATCAATACATCAACATCTTTCTGTGTAATTGCGTATAAATTTATGAAACCAAGCTAATAAATGGCCCAGACGTGTGAGGATGTGAAGTGTAAGAGAGCAGACGGAGTCAGACTTAAATCAGAACTTTATGGATCAATAAAGCCTCATCTACTGCACTTGTTACATAACACAGCATCTCTGGAGGACTGTGATCCTCCTCCAAGTCTCACATCGATTAACCATTTATTATCTCTCTTCAAAAAGTCATTCCTGCATCTTTCATTAATCTCACTCCCCAGGTCCGAGGAGAAAGATAAGAATTCCTGGTAATTTGTGCGTTTCATGTCAATCTCCCCCCATTCTCTAGCATGTGGTGGTCATTGCACCGGCAGAAAAAACTGGCGGCTGATTGATGTGGTGTATTGTGCTTGGAAAAATACGCCCAGATGGTCCTCATTACGAGAAGACCCTGACAGCTTTACTTTATGTTCTCCTGCCACTGTTTGGGTCGGGAGTAGTTATGTAACCTGGGTGTTTTGTAACACCTAGCAACCCCTGACAACCAAACTGGAAAACCCCACTCTGCATCCTCACTTAATTACTTGAAAGCCAGAGGAGCCTGCCCCTGGTTTTCTGTTTAAATAAGGAGCTCGATGTAGCCATTAGATCTGAGTGCATAGGCCAACTTGTGTTTTCCAAGTGCAGCAGAGGACTTTGAAGCTACCAAGGCCGTGGGAGGACAGAAAGGTGGAGATGTCTGGTGCCTGAGGCTAAAGTGGTTTCTAATCATTGTGAAAAAGGCACCACTGGAGGGTCCCCCTTTGAAGAGTAGGGAGCCTTAAATGGAGGTGCCTTACTCTTTGTTTTTACATATAAGTATGGGAAAGGTAATGATAAAAGAAGAAGAAGCAGTGTGACTTTTTCCATCTCATCTTTGTTTTAATTTTTCACTTAAAGGTCCAGTGTATAAGATTTAGATGAAAAGGAATTATTGGCAGAAATTGAATGTAGAATAATTCTCACTCGTTCATTTCATCTAAATTGTACGAATTGTATTTTTCTTTACCCTAGAAAAGACCCTTTATATTTAAATACTTATTATTTACATCGAGGGGACCCTCTCTACGGAGGCCACCATGTTTTTTACATTAGTCCAGACTGGACAAACTAAACACCTTTTGAGTTTTTATGACAATTAAAGGCTACCACAGGTTCTTTTTCACTTTTGGAAGGAGAGGGCGAGGTGAGGGCTGTTCAGCTGCAACAGGCAATTTTAACACTAGATATCACAAAATTCTACACACTGTACCTTTAATTATGTCTTGTTCTAATGTTGTTCTGTACATAATGAATTCAATCTTATCAATAATTATTTCTTGTGGTGTGTTCTGATCTGATCATTTATTTCCTGCAAATGAAAAATCACAAATGGTGAAAGACAAAGACACAACGGAAACCAAATGCAATTAGGATTTATCTTTAACACACTGTCTTTTCTTATCACCTGTATGAAAAGCATTCATATTTATATGATTTAATTAGATCTGAATACCTGAGTAGAGGAATACAACCATCACATTCTACCTCAGGGAACAGGGGAAAAAAAGTGTAGCAGGGTGCATAAAGGAGTCTGTTATTCTGCGATTAGAACTTGTGATTTCAATATTAGTTATTAATTATTTTAATCTTATTAAACATAATGGGAGTTGATTTAAGGTTAGATTCAACCCCTGACATTTCCTTCTATAACGAAAATATTTTTGCTGCCTCATTTATACCATGCATCGCACTAGTCACACTACAGAACACACGCACACACACATAAACACACGTGCACACACACACACACGTAAAACACTTGGTGTTTCCCACAAGTCAACAGAGAACCATCTGATGCACAAGACACTGGGACAAGAGGGATGTTTTTAGCAAGTGCTTACACAAGAAGACCACGTGCAGTGCATGTAAGCTCTTTTGCACGACAAGTGCAAGGATACAAGATTGATACACATTTAAGTGCATGTGCACACACGAAAAAAAAAACACACCTTCATGTTTCTGTTGCCACTGATTTCACAGGACAAAATGTGTCAAGTCTTCAAATAAACAAAGGGTCTGATTTCATGCATATCCAATATCAGAGATGTGCACATGTACCAAATGTTGCAGCTGATCTTTGCACACAAACAATAGACCTCATACTACACAGACACAAAATGCAAATGCACACATATATACACATTTCAATCTAGAATAAGAATAGATTTTTTGTCAGTCAGCCGTTTTATGGACAAATGTGCCGCAGCAGAACTGTGACAACATCATCTGGACAACTGTTCAGATGAAACCGGACGTGACTCATCAATAAATCCACAATTAAGATCAAACTCCACATGTAATAAAAATATGTCATTGAGCAGAGTGATCACATTGAGTGGTTCTGCTTCACATCCTGCAACAGAGTCACAGATTTACATTCAACACCAATAAACAGAGAACAGGACACACCACATTTATCTTCACACTGAAGCAGAAAGGTCATAGTTCTCTTTTTTTCTTGTGATCTTTGGCTGTAGTGTATTTTTTTGCACTATTGTTTGGAAATGTCTGTTAACACAGAAACGGGGAGGAATGGACAGGTTTCACATCAGAAATGAACAGCAGCCTCCTGTGTGAAAACCCTGTGTTTTCATTTGTCTACCCCATCCCTGCTCCAGATGTGTGCTCTTACAATCTATTCCATGTTATTCGACAATTCCTCCTTTCATGCCAGTCACAGTTACAATTGCTGCTAAAGGTCAACAAATGCGACACTGGGTCATTAATAAAAGGCTGTGCAGATTTTACATGAAGACAGTCAGTCTCAGCACATCAGGGAATGTTCACTGCTAAATTCTGCTGAAGGTTCTGGTTTAATAGAGTAATAAATCTCACTGACTGCAGACACAACATGTTTAATCTAGATGCAGTCCAGTCCCTGGTGTGACAGTCATGTGATTTATATCCCAAACTCGACCCCAACCACCTCTTGGTCACTCTGCTGTTGTTAATATTTGCTTCATTCAGTAAAAAACAATGCGATGTATTTGCAGAAACAGTTTGGTAAAACATGAACAGAATTTATGGGAACAGGTTGACGTCACTCAGTGTAAAGTTGAAGTGAACATGAACAAAAACAGCATCGTATTTCTGCAGCTAACCACACACTCTGACATTCACAGGTAAGCTGGTTAAACTCAGACAGCCAACTAGCCTGATGTCTAATTTCAACAAGTGCACTCTTGTCCGATGAACCAGTTATTGACAGCTCACTTAACGAATACAAGTCAAGAAGCTGTCAGTACTACCACAGAGCCAATGTTTGCTGCAGTTCAGACTCTTCAGTCAGTGTCACATTGATTAGAGACAATTACTGGATTCTGATAATGCAGTTCAAAGTAGGAGGTCAACTTGCAAGTGCGAACACATGAACTAATTACAGAACATAACCATGAGTGCACAGACAGGGGGTCAGGTGTTTTGTGTTTTCGACTTACGGTTCAGCAGGCAGGTGGCAGAGAGGTTCAAGAATCCAAATTGGAGAACTCCAGAAACAAACAAAAGGCCAAACAGGAAGCAGAACAGAAACAGTGGGTAAACCAACAAGGGAATTGAACAAAGTAGCTTTACGTCAGCACAAGGGAAATGCAGGGACATTAACAGATGAACTGATAAAATAGGGTGAGGGGCACAGATAGAAACTGTAAAGACTGAGGTAGCAGTGATACTTGAATTTAGGTGAGACATATTCTGGCTGGTGAGGGGAAACCAGACAAAGACAGGAAGTAAAGTAAGAGATAGACATACAAGCAAATACTTCAAAATAAAACAGGAACTAAAATATGAATTAGAAAAAGAATATGAAAATTCCACCAATGCAAAGTTTCAAAGACAAAATCAACAGGAAGCTTTGACAAGTTAATGACAGGAGCAGAATCATGACACAGTCATGAGACGCCTCACCTCTAATAAGATGAAATGGTGCATGTTAATTAAAGACTAGGCATAAAATATGTTTTAAAGGTCAATCTTGATATATGTTTTTAAAAGGCAGTGGCAGAGCTGTGTGTTTTTGTCGGCTTGTTCTTGTTCTTCTGCTTCCCAGAGGCCCGAATCCTTTACTGTAGCTTTAAGTTACGGTGAAATGTGGTTACGAGGGATCTCAGGTATGTGTATATGTGTCCTGTCTTATTACCACATTTCAAGTTGCTTACAGGGATAAAGATTCAAAGGGGAAAATACATGTCAGTACACATAAATGTTTCTCGGAGCCATCACCTTGTGGTCGCAGTTGGTTTGCTGTGTGAAAGAACTGTTGTGATTAGTTCAGACTTTTGGACAGGTTGCAGTGGAAGCCTCTCTGTTCTCTCTAGATACAGAGTGAAATTGCTTACAGTATTTGCCTTCAATGCTAAATGATAAAGTTTGAACAATGACATTAATTTCATTTTTCAAACGATATGACTTCCACTCGCTGAATTTACAACACAGCGATGTTAGACATGAACCTGTGTCGAGTAAACAAATAATATAGAAAAACAAAAGGCCATCGTTTGTGCTTTCAGTTTAGATGCAGATTTATTGTTCTGTGAATTCTTGATTAGGTCAAGGATAAATGTCATGGTTGCATAAACAGGTTGTTGGGCGGCAGGAAAAAAGCCCAATGTCAGAATGATCCTTCTGAACGAAACAAACACCACAAACCTGAGGATAAGGCCCAGCTGGAGACTGTTTGGCTGCAAGATGAAGAGGACTGAAGAGGACTTAGGAGACAGGTTACTCTTACCTCTTCTCGACCGTCAGCTCTTTGCAGAGGCCCTGCAAATTTTTTCAGATGGATGAAGACCCTAGAACTTTAGGTCATGGATACACAAACATACACACAACCGATGAGAGGAGGATGCTGTCAAAATCCAAAATCAGACACACACCCAGAGTCCTAGAGGTCTTCTGTTGGTTTGACATTTGATATTTATGTTTGATTGATGTTTAAGGACATGCAGAGTGATGGTGACAGGGATTATGTGAGTGTTCGTCCATTTGTTTCACTGTGGCCACAAAAAAATCTAAATAACACCTTTTGGAAATATTACCTTGATAATATTATCTGTTTTTATTAAAAGCTACAAAAAAAGGATATTGAGGTGATTGTATTTTATTCCCCCAGGCAAGTCAGCTCCTGTGAATGATTTCATGGCCCTTTATGACACTGGATGGAGAGAGAACATGCGTGTGAACAGTGTGTACTGTTCCTTCTCTCCCTCTGGAAGAGATAACACACAGCTGAGGTGGATGCAGGTCAAAGGAAAGCCCCACGGTTCTTTCAATCTGACATAATTAGGAATTGCAGATGTCACTTTCATGTCAATCTCACAAGTGCCGCTGACAGATAAGTCGACAACAAACTGTGGAGGCTACTTGTCACAAGCGGTTACATCACATGTTGTACGCGACAAGATATTGTCGCTGACAGGCCTGTTTTTCTTTGAAGAAAATAAAAAGAGCATCGAGGGTCAGTGTTTACAGTTCTGTACTGGTGGCAACACATAATCGCCTCATGGGCCCCATGAAAACTAAATACTGGAGAAGAGTCAGAAGAGGTCACACGTACATGGAGTTCAGTCAGACAACTCACATTCAAATGTTGATTGCAACAGTAGGTCGGTGTTTGATGTCTAGGCTCCGACTTAGTCACTCCCCCGATATGATTACATGGATATGATGGGAGTGATGAGCAAATGCTTGTAACCCCCTGTCAAGGCTTACAGCTGGATGCTGGGGTGGTGGAGGCAGCAATACTGACACAGCAGCGGGGCAAGCAAAGGGATTGATGGGAAATTTTCTCTGCTTAAATAGACCGCCTAATGAGGTGGGTGTGTATTATAGCTAACTGTAGAGAGTGAGGTATGTCACACGTTGTTTGTCACATGATTGGAGCAGGACAGCGCGAGCTGGCTGCCTGAACTAGCCCGCAGGCGTTGCTCCATTTATTGTGTCATTATGTTTATTCATCTGTGAAATTACATTTTCTTTATATTGTTTATTGTTTATTCAGATCTCCATTAGCTCATCCTGGGGTCCACACACAATAAAACAACAAACATTAAAACAAGACATATCTCATGTAGCATATAACATGCAAAAAAAAATATCAAGAAAACATTTTTAAACTTTATAGAAGTCAAGTAATGACTAAACATAACAACACAATAATTTCACTTCCCTTCGTAATAGTTCATGCATTTTTAGTCTTAAAAACTTCACCTTACGATGAATAAGACTTTAATCATTTGTAATGTTTCACAGTCCAATTTCTCTTGACTTTTGATTCACTTGAAAATTGTTGTTAATCCTACACAGACCACATTATGTAATGAGATATACAATTTACCAAACTTAAAACGTCCAGTGCTGTTTGATAAATTCATGAAAAGCTGGATGAACCAGGAATCAGCATCCAGAAGGAAATGAATCACAATAAGGCCCTGACAACATGGAAGGTGAACTGAGCAACTGATCAATAACTGATATTGCTGCAATAACCAGAGCATGAAGCAGTCAGCTCTGTCTCTGGGCAGCTGGGCTGTTGTCCTTCTCTATCCCATTTGTCAATTAAAAAGACTGGCACAGGGTTTCCATGGTGACAGGGGACTGTCACATGTATCATCCAAATTGGTTTAGACTGAGAGGAGGAGAAACGCAGGATAGCACTGACTAATGACATATAGTATGAGTATACACGTTTGTAAAGAATGAATGTAGACATAATGAATACAGTATTTTCTGCAACACAGGGCTTAAATATGCAGAACAAACACACATTTGCACACGTCATTAACACGCAAAAACGACCGAAATACAAACAACCACTGGAAAAATGTTAGATCAATGTTCCTCATTTGGCTGGAGCTCACTATATTTTTCATTAGAAGGCTGCAGGTTACTCTCAACAACAAACAGCTTCAAGATGAAGGTGTGAAAATGTTGTTTTTCCTTTATGTCTTCCTCCAGAGCTTCTGTCTACCTTTGCAACAGCATGTGGAGCATTCACATATGACAGTTTTATCATACTCTAAAGACATCGCTGAGGAAACCTTGGTGATTGGATTGGCTTCCCTGTGAAACGCAGCAAACAAGATTTGGGTGTACTCACCTGGGGCTTGGTATTTACTTCAAGTCCTTTTATCAGGGTTGTTGTGTGATTGACAGCAGATTCTCACAGTAGTGATGTGTTTTTTTTCCTTTCTTTATTTGAGAGTGTGGTCTTTCAGTTTGAGAGCAATACTTATTTGATGTTATGTTCCGATTTTGCCCAATACCCTGCGCTTGCACTCATTTATACCTTATTTGTGCTTCTTGCTCTGCTTGTGCACAAACTGTGCACTTAGATATTTTTTGCAACACCTGAAAAACATGAAAACATCTGCACTCGGATTTTTCCTCTGTGCCTGGATTTTTTGTGCAACGAGTCCTTCACAATTCCCCAACCAATAGAATTAAATTGTGTCGCCCGTCATTGTGGGTGTTTTAGCTCTATAAAAGCAGAACAGATGCAGTGTGATCTCAAGGAGAAGAGCTGAAGCTGCAGTGCAGGATATCTGTCCAAACAACTAAATATCTGACTGCAAGCTCTCAGTTTGTGCACAAGCAGAGCAAATCTAACAGAAGGAGGGGCTATCTGAGTTCAAGCAAGCATTATAAAATCTTTAAGTCCTGCTCTCAAACTTAAAGACCATGTTGTTGAATGAAGATAGGAAAAAACAACCTTTCCACAAAGTTTAATGTAAAAGGCTGTTACCTACAAGACTGGTACTTTGATTTAATCTGGGTGAATTCAGATGCAGACTGTTAACACACTACATGATCAATTGTTCCAGCCTCTGATGAGCACTTGTCCAAGGATTTCCCTTTTTGTGTGAAATCAGTGGTTCCCATCTTGGTGGAGAATATGGTAAAATGGGACATTAGCATTAAAATAGAGTCGTGCTGTGTTCCTTATCTCTGTGTGGACGTTTTTTTCCCCCCACACACATCTGCCCGTCTCATAACGTCTCTACTGCATGTTGATTTAAATCACCAGGTAAAGAAAAACAACCTATATCTTGGCAGTTTCTTGTAAAGCTGGTTGATTGGTGAAGCTGTGAGGGCATGTTTTACACAGAATGCAGCTGTGGGGGGCACAGATGAAAATGCTGTTCAAGTATGAATATGTAGTGTCTAAAAGCATTTGCATTTTGAGTTTCATCTCATTTTCTGCTTCAGTTTCATTTATAATGAGCATAAAGTACTTTGCTCCTGAGTCTGTGTCTGTCACTATGAATCCAGCTAAATCTGAAGATTCAAGAGAGGGATCTGATTATTTTTTATTAGTTACACAACAATTGGTTCACATCACATTAACAGAACACATCATCACACTGACTCAATAAATCGATAACTCGATAAATGATACTGTATCAGTGGGAGTCTGGGTTGCTGTTGTGGTTATGTAAAGGTGATAGTGTGTGTTATGTGTGCGTGTATGAAGGCAGGTTCATGGGAACGATTCTGA